ATAAAGAGCTTTCAAACAAAGTGCTGAACAATTACAAAAAATAAAATCCTTATAAAAAAGTTGTAGGAACAAGTAAAACATTAAAAAAAGATCAAATGCAAAAGTAAAATTTAAGACACAGGACAAGGTGTACAGGTGGTTTTTTAGCTTAGCTTTAAAAACTTCCACAGATCCGACCAGTCTGATGTCTTGAGGGAGATCATTCCACAATAAAGGGGCACGAAAGAAAAAAGCACGACCTCCAATAGGTTTATGTCTGACCTTAGGGTTTATCAACAGACCAGTGCCCTGAGATCAGAGAGTACAAGATGGAAAATAAGGGTGGAGAAGGTCTGAAAGCTAGGGAAGCGCTAGACCATGTAAGGCCTTATAGGTGAGAAGCAGCATTTGAAGTCTGCATGAACTTGGCAGGGCAGCCAGTGGAGAGGTGACAGCACCGGAGTGATATGGTTATATTTTCTTGTTTTAGTTAGGATACAAGCAGACACATTCTGAACCATCTGCAGTCCTTTCTGCTGAATGGTAAATGAAACTGGTGAAATGGTTGTAAAAAACCCATAAAACTACTAAAAGGTGATCATTTCTAGTAATTTAGTTGCAACAGCTGAAGTTTTCAGTAAAATAGCTATTTAGCTGGAAATGTTTTAATTAGCTCAAGGAAGCATAAGGATCACAGGTTTGCTGAATTTAGCAGAAAAAAGTCGCAATAGCTACAAAAATAATGTGTTTAGCTTAAAAAGCTAACTTTAGCTAATACCAGCTTAACATTAGCTAAACATGCAGTAAATAGCTGAATATAGCAGAAAGCATCTGTAGGAAGCAGAAATAGCACAAAGTAGAAAAAAGAATTACAAAAATATAGTACTGGTAATTAGTGGAGATAAAGCCGAAAGAAATAGAATTTAGCTAATATAGCAGCAAAACAGCAAAAATTAGTATAAAAATAAGCTAAAGCTAGAAGCCTTAAGTTGAAAGTATCACCCAGTTGGTGAAACGGTTGTAGAAATTTCAAAATTAGCAGAAAAAACCCCCCCATAAAACTACTAAAAGTGATCATTTGTAGTAAAATTTCTAAAACAGACGAAGTTTTTAGTAAAATTGCTAAAGTGTAGCTGGAAGTTATTAAAGTAGCATAAGGAAGCATAAGAAACACAACTTTGCTGAATTTAGCAGAAATAAGTTCTAATAGCAATAACAAAATATGTATTTAGCTTAAAAAGTCAACTTCATCAAATAACAGCTAAAATTTAGCTAAATTTATAGCAAATAGCTGAATATAGCAGAAAGCATCTGTAAGAAGCCTAAATAGCACAAAGTAAAAGAAAGAATTTCTAAAAAGTAGAAAAAAGCAGAGGAATTAAGTGGAATTTTAGCTGAAATAGTAGAAAGAGCTAAAATTAGCAAAGAAGTAGCTAAAATTATCACAAGGAAGTTAAAAAGAGCATAAGCAGAACAAATTGTGTAAGGTGCTGTAAAGATTTAGAAACATTTTGAACGATGTTATGGATGTTGAAAATTCATTTTCAATGGCAAAAAAGTGACTAGAAAAGTGAAATAGCTAAAAAAAAGTATAAATAGCAGAAATAACAAGAGTCATAGCTGGAATGTCCTGAATGAGCTGAACGTTTTGATATATGAATTGTTGAAATAGCATAAAAATTGTCGGAGAAAGGGGACAAAAATATATGGAAGGAAAAATGATAATAGTGTGAATGCAGTAGGTCATTCACCCACAGGTATTTAGCTTACAGGGGCGACTGTGGCAGAGTGGTTAGGGGAGTTGTCCTGGAACCAGAAGGTCACCAGTTCAGTCCCCCATTCCAGCTGTCTCAGTTGTTGTGTCCTTGGGCAAGACACTTCACCCCTAATGCCTCTGATGTGTGTCCCATCAGTGTATGAATGTGATTGGCACTGATTAGTCTCCATAGATGATTGTACATGTTAGCTTTGTGGAGACCTAATAGAGTGCTGTGTGAATGGGTAAATGAGGACACAGATTGTAGTGTGAAGAGCTTTGAGTGTCCTGGTTGGGTAGAAAGGCACTATACAAATACAGTCCATTTACAGACAAATAAGCACACACACATATAAACAAGTACAATATCAGTTCAGCAGCATGCAATTTTAAGAACTTTGTAACAACGTGATGCATAAGTAAAAATAAAGCAGAATTGTCAGATAATCATGAAACTAAGGAAAATTCCCTTTTTTGTTTTTAAGCAATGCTATTTCTGACTTTTGACTAGTACCTGTCACAACATGATGATATTTCTGTTTTTGCTTTATTTTAAAGGTATGGTTCAGTAATCGAAGAGCCAGATGGAGAAAACAAGCAGGAGCCAGTCAGCTCACAGCACTAAACCACATTCTGCCAAGTGAATTTCCTTCCACAGGGGTGCCAACATTTTCTAAGTACCAACTTTCAGAGATGAACTACCAGACTTTGTCTCAAGGTAGAGCACGTTGTTTCTATCACATCTAACAAATGAAGAGTGAATGTTTTTTCCCAACAATCAGCAGCTGTGTGGTCCTGATCTGGGTTTAACTTTACTGATAATAAAAAATAGCTCTGACATGATAACCCAGAGAGTTAATCCATCCTCTCATCATCAGAATAATTTAGCTCAACTTCCTGGTCTCAGGGCAGTTCACTTGAAGCCTCACACTGATTCTTCACATTTAAACAAACACACACTTTTACAGAGTGGACTCCCACAAATCAGACAATCACAGTTGTTTTGGGAACAGACTGACAAATGATTTGCTTGTCGCCTTAATGTCTTGAGGTGTAAAAACCACGTCTACTGGTTCTGCGGAACTGCTGCTGCTGAATGAAGAGAGAACACTGAAACAGGCTGGTTGAACAGCAAGAATCTTTATTTTGCAGTCCAGGAGATTACAGCCAAAAACCAAATTGTGGCCTCAAGCCAAATGATTCACCAAGTAAGAAAGATGAAGAACGAAGGCCAAGGGTGGGGGCGTACAAGGCTCTTTATAGGCTTCACGGTGTAGTTCAACAGATGTGCCATAAAATTTTGTCACGGTATACCTTAAGCATTCCTTTCCCTAATATGGTAATGTGCCGAGCTCTGAAGCTGGAGAACTAAGAGACATAACACTTCTGTGCATTCTTGAGAAGAGGCCCCCACTCTTAGACACTACAGTCTCACCAGAAACTCAATGGCAAAAGTTCCAACTAGCCAAATTTGTTGGTCATTCCTCACCTCACAGAGCACAGCTTCCCCAAAAACTACACATTCCCACCAGCGGGCTCAGGAGCCACAGGAGCCTGCGACCCTCAGCGAGGATCCCATCCAAACCTGCGGTTCACCTCCACCAGCGTTAGGCAGCCCAGCATAAACCAACACACAAGGCAGACAAGCTCCACAGCTGTTCAGAGCTGTGGGTTTATCAAGTCTGGGGGGCATCAGTGGGAGCTGAAACCTTTGAAAAAACAAACAAAACAAGACTGTAAATTCATTTACACATTGCAATAACCAACAAAGTTACAGAGACAAATAATTTGCACAACCGTTTAGCAATGTTTCTTAAAATGCTCAACTCAAAATCACTTCAAGAAGAATCTACACACAGTCCTCATTATGACATCATCTGACAAGAATAAACATTGTGGGGACTGTGTCTACTTCYTTAACAATCATTGGTCCAACAACATGTTTAAGGAAGTACTACAAACAAAACACCAGCCAGGATCTACTCACCTGAGCGTCATCATGTGGCGTGATCGATGCCTTGTGTTTATATCAAGTCTGGGGGCACAGTGGGAGCCGCAACCTTTGAAAAACAAACAAAACGACTATAAAATCATTTAGAAACTAACCAGAGAAAACAATACAAGATGGTTACTAGGGCTGCAACTAACGATTATTTTAATAATCGATTAATCTGTTGATTATTTTTTCGATTAACCGGCCAAATCATTAAAACACTTAATTACATGAATATGAGTAGATATTATTTAAGTTAACTCCTTAAGGATGCAAGTTATTGTTAATGAATTAATCTGAAGTTGATTTATCTTACAG